AAGAATACTTTTTCCGCACAGGATTACATTCCTGAGATCAAAAGATGCAGACGTCTTATGTTAATCGGTTGCGGTACGAGCTATCATTCTGCCATAGCTACGCGACAGCTTCTTGAGGAACTGACAGAATTGCCAGTGATGGTTGAGCTTGCATCTGACTTTTTGGATCGTAATACCCCAGTCTTTAGAGACGACGTCTGCTTCTTTATTTCTCAATCAGGTAAGGCAGAAATATAATGTAAATAAGAAAAACAAATAAATAAGAAAAAATTTAAGTTTGACAAATAATATCGTTTTAACGATATTAAAAATTACTGAATTGTATATACACAAACACAAAATGGAGTTATTGTTATTTTTATAACGATAGGCGAGACAGCTGACACATTAATGGCACTACGTTATTGTAAAAGCCGCGGAGCTCTTATCGTGGGTATAACTAATACAGTTGGTAGTAGTATCTGTCGTGAATCTCATTGTGGAGTGCATATCAACGCTGGTCCCGAGATCGGTGTAGCAAGTACGAAAGCTTATACCTCGCAATTTATCTCGCTTGTAATGTTTGCACTGGTAATGAGCGAGGACAGAATTTCTCTTCGCGCGAGACGCTTACAGGTACATTCACATCCAGGGTATTGTACTTTTTATTTTTAATAAAATGTAATTAAATCTTACGCACATTTTTGTTACGCAGATTATCGAAGGATTAAAAAATCTCGATAATCTTATTCGCGAAGTATTGAAGCTCGATGATAAAGTGAAGGAGCTAGCCAAATCTTTGTTTCAACACAAGTCCCTATTGATCATGGGCCGTGGATACAATTTTGCTACGTGCATGGAAGGTGCACTCGTAAGTAGGCGATAAGAAGCGATAATAAATTTCTTTGTAATTAACGTTATTATGACTAATTCATACATATTTGCAGAAAGTAAAAGAATTGACATACATGCACAGTGAAGGAATTATGGCCGGTGAATTGAAGCATGGTCCGTTAGCTCTCGTTGACGATTCTATGCCGGTAATTATGATTGTAATGAGAGACCCAGTGTACGTGGTAAGTTTAATTGAGCAAGTTTTTAATATCCGGCTGCTCTCAATAATATAATAGGCGAGGAATTTCAAAGAAATATAGGAACGTGGCATATGTCTCTCAATTCAATAATTTATTTTATAGAAATGCATGAATGCACTTCAGCAAGTTACCGCGCGGGACGGTAAGCCCATTGTTATCTGCGAGGAAGGGGATGAGGAAACGAAGGCTTTTGCCGATAGAGCTCTCGAGATACCTAAAACCGTCGATTGCCTGCAAGGAATTCTCACCGTCATTCCCATGCAGTTATTGTCTTTCCACATAGCGGTTTTGCGTGGTTGTAACGTTGATTGTCCGAGAAACTTGGCGAAATCAGTCACGGTTGAGTAAAGATCGAATGGATTGTTCCATGAAATTCTTTGGGATTACACAAATTTGCTAACGTGATTGCTATAAATTTTTCTTAAGCTATACGAGAGTTATGGATAGAGAAGATAAGTAATTATAAATATCGGGGAAATTAATAATTGAATAAAACACACACGCGCAACCGGCGTCAGAGGAGAATACGTTTTTATCTTTTAAATCTTATTAAATTCATTTAACTCGTATTGCTTATTCGCGATTTAAATTTATATGACGCTTGATAATTGTTTTATCAAAGCAAGAAGATAATACAAAAAAATAATAATTAGAAACGTATGTCAAGTCCTTTTTCAGAGATGACGAATCAATTAAGGATTTGCTCATATGTCTTTCATCAATATTATGTTGCGCAATATTGATTAATGCAAACATTTCTCTTTGACAAGAGTAAAAAAGAATTCTTAATATATATGATTTCAATGCATTTAATATACATATTTTAACTCTCATAACATTTAGTGTAGTTTTTAAATATAATTGTCGATTAATCAATGCTTTTGATAGGATATGACGCGATACACAGTGTAATTTTTTTCTTGATCGAGTTAAATTTAGAATTATAACAGAAATTTTCGTATTCGATAATTATTATATTTAATGGATAATACGTGCGACATAGAAATGTAAGTACGTATATACACGTACATGTATACGTGTATGCGATAAATACCACAAGATATGTCTAAATGAATTTTTAGCACATACGAGACAGACAAATTTTCCGTTTTTACACAAAACTTTACACATTCAAGACGAAACAGAGATTATTATCTCGTTTTATCTTTGAACGGCGATTAATGTATTATACACAAATATGCAATAGTGGTTTTTTTAGGACACGTATTTTTTTGATAAATCTATGTCACAAGTTTGTAAATTTAATCAAAAAATATATAATTACTACTTGATTTATATACAATAAATTTTTCTTTAAAACAGTTAATGCTCTCATATTTTGTGATCTTATTTAATTCAAGATAATGTAGATGAGACATATATGTATAACAAATGATTGTTTATTAAAGCAGAATATTGTCGTTATAACTAAAAATTATATAAAGTATTTTTTAGAAAGAAAGTGGGAAAGGGGCAGAAAGAGAGAGAGAGAGAGAGAGAAAGAGTAAAAAAAGTTACGATGGAACTTTTACGTGCAATTATTTCCATTTTATAGAATACGACATTTTAATTTTAATTTGCGTTAAAGTAAGCGTTTAGACAAATATTTAAAATAATTATAAAAACACGAAATAATAGGATATAATAGAAAATAGGAAAAACAAAACGTATTGAAAATTATTATTTGTGAAAATTCAATGTACGATATACTAATAATCCTTTTATCTTTCTTTTAAAATTTAGAAAAAATCTAAAGTAAGAAGATACTTATTAAAATTTACATTTTCTTCAGCGTAGATTATTAAAATTTCTAGATTTTATCAGAGATGTTACACTTACCTTTCAAAATTATTAGCAGATTTAAGATTCCGATGAACATCTGATTGTTAATATTTTTATATAGAAATGCTTATTAGCATCAAACATTATTAAATTGTTCGTTAATTTAATAAAATGATATTATTACTCTGATTTTTCTCATGATTGCATTACGAAAAAATCGAAAAAAATTTCGGCGCGCAGTATACACAGAATCAGATACGTAAGTATATAAATTCACACAAATATTTAAGCATTAAGATTCGTTTTGACCGAATATAAGAATTCTCTTATTTTTAATTAGACTAATCTTTCATGTCGGTTTGAACGTGTGCCAAGGTGACGAGCAAAGCAGAGCAAAGTGACACCAAAGTCGAAGACGGTCACTTGGGTCGAACGCGCCAGTAGTAAATCTCGTGTTTACGTCCGACACGCGGACGCGCGCGGCGCGGCGCGGCGCGCGCATGCGCAGGCACAATTTGTATATCGACAAACGACGCCATAACTGCCACGGCTCTCTTGGCGGAAAACGTTTGAACGGACGACAATAATAATAACGCGTGATCTTACGGCACTAGCGCGGTGAATTCGGTTAACAATTGATTCGTCGGAATTCACGGAAATTCGATTCGACGGGAAAACCCATCGCGTTGTCGATTTCGTATCGTAACTATCGATAAAGTCCTTGAGTAAGTTATTCGGCGTTCCCGACATGATGGCTGTCGTGACATCTCGCGTGCGCGCGAAACGAATCGAATGGAACTTGGAAGAGAGCGACGAGAGTAAGCTACTTTGATTGGATTTTGGCTGTATTGAAAGTTATTGGCAGGGAATAGATGTTAAAAAACGCGGACTTGTAATTTGTGAGAAAAGATCAGGTATGTAACTCGTGATTTTCCGTGAGTTTCCGTTGCATGAAAATTGTAAGTAATGTTTAAACGATCCTTGTAATGTTATAACAAGGCAATATGTAAAATTTACATCATCGAGCGAAAATGGCTTGAAGATATAAAATTTGAACATAATCTTGTTGGCTTGCGAATCGAAACAAATGTTCGCAAATAATTAACAAGATACGAATATCATTGTATAGTTTTATATACAGGCACTTTTTAACGTGCAATAGTAATCGTGTCGCATAAATCTCAACTATGTTACAACTATATATGTACACATGTATAATGCATTAATAATTATCGAGAGGGAAAGGTTTGGGAGAAAAATCATATTTGTTCGAGTAAATCAAATCTCGTAAATGAAATCTTTATTCGGCTCTCTTAATTTTATCTGAATCAGAGAGAAATCAAAACTTTAGTCACTTTGAAGCTTTATTATAACAGGAATATGTTCTCGCTCATTAAAATTTGTACGTCTCTCGAACTTTGAAGATGTACCAAGTGAGTAAGGGAGAAAATTGAGAGATATTCGCAGTGTCGACGTTTAATTTAGACTCGGCTCCTTCGTATCGTGTTGTTTCGCGTTGTTTTGTGGGAATAGGGAATAGGGAATAGTGCAAGGGGTAAAGAAGCGCGCGGGGTCGGCGCAGTAGAGAGTATAGAGTAGTCCGCCATTATCGGC